GTGAACTGTCATGAAACGGCTCGTCTTCTTCTCGCTCTTCGTAAGTCTTGTTTTTATATTTTCTTGCTGTTGAATGAGAGCTCACAATTAAACCTCAATGACAGCATGAAACATAACAATTGTATCTAAACAGCATATGAATTATTCGGAGTAATTTACAATTATTTATTTCCAGCACTTTTCTTCCGTGCGCAACACCACGCGGACAACGCGTAAATTATCCACGTAGACGTAATCTCGAGAACCAGGACACGATCCTGGAGATAAGTACGATTAGCGGTAACTCCGACCGTTAAAACGTAGGTCCTTCTTCCCGTCGGCTTTTTTGCCGTTTTCGCCGACAATTACCCTCGATTAACGTTGCCTCGCTTGTCTTTCCGGCGATCGGTGTACGCGTCATGAAATTTACGCACGATTATCACTCATGACACAATAATAAACGGCACGTGACGCATCCCTCAGCTTGGGGCGAGTGGGGGAGAGGGAGGGGGCACGGACGGTAGGAAGTTTCAATTAAATAGATATATACGCGCGAGCGAGCCACGTCGGAGATTTACGATGATGATGACGGTGTGTCATCGCGATTCTGCACGACACTCGCAGAGCGGCGGCGACGGCGGTTCTGAAAATGATAGCGCTAGAAATTCATAGCGCGGGCCGCGCTCGGCTCATTCGGCCGCGTTATATCCGCTCGTAATGATTCGACGCTCGCACGCTCGCTCGCCCGTCGTTCATTTCCGAGGAGTTAATATTCAAAATGAACATTAACAGAACGCCGCACGCTACCGTTAATCTCCAATGGCATGTGGGAGCGCTCCGCGGTGCGCACGGCTGCCGGAGAGAGCTCGCCTCGCCGCACTCGCGTTAATTATGCAAACGAATAATTAGCATTTCGATTATTTCGGCCGCGTCATTGTGCCTCCTCCGCGCGGACGGCGAATTTATCGCGCTGGTATCAATTGATTATCGTCCTTTCCATCCGTCCTCCCCCTCTCTCTCTCTCTCTCTCATCATTCTATCAACAAAAACCCCTCTTCATCTTGGTGACCGACTCAAATTTAGACTTCCTTCGCACACGAGGTCTGGAAAATCTGACTGCGATCTTTGAACTTTAAATTGTCGTATCTCTACAACGCTCCTTCCTCTATACAGCTTCCTCCCTGTGGAACTCATTCCCTTATCGATGCCTGTGCTTATGACAAACGATATGGGAAATTATATATTTCTCTCTAACACGCTTAAGGGGATTTAATCCCAGAGCACGCAATAAAAGATGCTCTCTCTTTCTCTCTCTGTCCATCCTGCATATTTAGTTCATCACCTTTCTATTTTATAATTATAAAATTTCACTGCTACTTTGCAAATCCATTGATGCAATTTTCTTCTTACACGTCTTTAGAGAGCTTGTCCTAAGACTACAATGAACGCATTCCTCCCTCTCTTTCACTCTCCGGCGTCGACGGCGCTGCGACGACGACACTCTGTATCGTTATCCGCTTATCGTTTCCGTCTCGGTCACTCGAGACGAGAGAGGCGAGATTCCCGTCGATAAAGTATGACCGGTAAAGTATCGCTCGCGCGAAGGTGTCGTCGACGCTCGGATTAATAACACAAGCGGACGATAATTCACGGTGCGCCTCGGCCGCGCTCGTCGTCGTCGACCGGTTCGTCGATCTCGCCCAGCCGAAGCCGTCGGGAAAGGGAGACGACAGTCGTTGTAAAGTTCTCTCATACCGTAATGAAGATATTACTTGGAGGCGGGGGCGAAAGGTCGCGGAAGAGTTCACGGTGTGTGTGTGTGTGTGTGTGCCGATGACGGAGACACGCGTCGGCTAATCGCGTCGCCGTGCGCGACGCGTGTGGCGAAGGGAGGACCGAAGGGGATTCTCTCGTTCGCGAGAACCTGGTTCGAGAGAGCGCCGGAGGAGAGGAGAGTACGTGACCCCCGACGGAGAGCTCGGATTCACGAATATTAATCGCTCGAATTTAGCCGTCGACGAGGATACCGAGCGACCGATCTACGGAGCGAGCGACGGCCCGACCGGGACCGAACGGGCCACGAAGTCGAAGAGTGATCAATGCGAACCGATTCGGCCCCGACTGACTGCAGAAATAAACTGTTAGTCCCTATGAATATATTCATATCCCTTCATCAATATTCAGAACCTACTTTCCCGACTGCGCTTAAATCCACTAAAATCGAGCGGAGGCGCCGAGCCCGCTCGCTTCGGTCTTCGACAGAATGAGGCACGATCGTCGATTTCTCATAACGACGGTTTACGTGCCCCCTCAACTCGTGTTCGCGTTCCTGTCGTCGGTAGACGGTAACTACGTCGAGTCGGAATGGCGATTCTTCCCCCCCCCTTCCCCCCCTCGTGTGTCTTTCTCTCTATTTCTCTCTATCTGCGCATATGTGACACCCGCATTCTGATAATTATGCTTGATACCTGCCGCTCTTTTCTGTTTCACTTAACAAGTTCCGTGTCGCGCGGACCACCGGTCGCCCCATGCTGAGTTTCCCGTTCAGGTCGTTTGACGATTTGACTCGGAGACGAGATGGGATAGTCGTGAAATATTTCGACGATTATTGTGAGAGACATCTGACAGATGAAATTTGGCTAATAATACGAGTGGTTACTCGATCGATGAAATTTGGCTCATAACACGAATAGATCCCGACAAATACAATTCGGCTCATAATGTAAGTGGTTATTTGACAAATGGAAATTCGGCTCGTGATACGAATGATTATTTGACAGATGAAATTCGATTCATAATACAAATAGCCGTTTGACAAGTGAAATGTGGCTCATAGTGCGACAACGTGAGAACTATCGGCAAACCGACGCGACCTGGACGACAAGTTGGATTAATCCGGCACGGAACGCGCTAATTTACTTTCATTTTCATTCCGCTTCTCACGCTTGCGAGTATTTTCTCGCGGATACTTCCCCGGGACTTTCTCCCCCGACGGATCTATCCGTCCGTCTGTCCGCTTGCATTCGCGCGATAACACCGTGTGACACCGTGGTGCTTGATAGAAAACGCGATCTCCGACGCGCTCCGCTTCTGCGAGAAGAACCGGCCGGACTCGGAGCGCGTCCAAACCCGATGTAATTGGCAGCGAGCGCGTTCGTACAACTAATTTACTCGAACTTGGCACCGATTCGCACCGGAGGAATCGAAATCGAATGAAAACGACGACGAGGAGGAGTAGGAGGAGAAGCACGGAGGAACACGGTAGAGATCACCGGAGAGAGAATCGCTCCCCGAGACCGGGGGTCGGCCTCGCTTGGACCATTTCCAATTCCGTTCGACCTGCTCTCGCTCTCTTTCATTCGTCATTGCCTGTTGCGTTATTTTGCCAGCTCGCGAAACTACGGGGGCCGGGCGAACGCGCGCGAACGTGAGCCGCTTCCCGAGAGGGGGCCCGCGTGAGATTAAAAAACTCTCTTGGCGAGGCAGTTCACGTCTCGATCCGGCGGATTTAAGGCGGCACCCGGCAAACAGATCGTCCCGCTAATGGATGGGAGCACCGATTCGATATTACACCTTCCCCCTGAGCCCGGTCTCCTCCGCGTGAACGCGAGCACCCCGGCGTTCGACCGGGGGAAATTAGCAAGTCTTAGGAGATCTCTTGTTAATCGCCGGAGTGATTTCTGCGGCGTCGCTCTCGGACAATTTGCCGCGACGAAATTTCATTTGTCCCCTCGACGTTTCCCTCTTCTATTTATCTCTCTCTCTCTCTCTCTATCTCTATTTCACTCTCTCCGTGTGCTGACGACAGTCGTCGTCGACGGGACCCCATCCAGGATCTCCTTCTCGCGCCGATCCACCTCATTCGCTCTTTATCTCCTTCCATTCGAGTCCTCTCCGCGCTCCGGCTCGCTTTTCGTCGGAAATGGAGCTTACAGAATTAATCGATGTTATCCTGACTGCTCTCCGGTCGAGATGCACGAAAAAGAGAGAGAGAGACGGAGGCGAATCCTCTTTCTCACTTTCCATCTCCTTTATTTCTCTCCTCTTTCGTGGCTTCATCGCGATCGTCTTCGAGTCCGGGGCGACAATGAGCGACGTCGAATCAAGTGGGGAAATCAGATTCGGCCCGACGACGCGTCTCCAAGTCGGATTAGAAAAGAATGGGCTCGTACGAGCGTCGGATTCCGGTCGCTACGGGACGTCCCGCAGCCGCCGGGAGTCCCGTCGCAGCACTGTGTGAAGGACCGACCGCTTTGAATACGTCTCTTCTTCTGCCTCATTCACTCTTTCTCTCTCTCTTTCTACATCTAACTCCACTTCGGGACAAACTGGATCACGCGGAAAGACGTATTCCCTCTTTTTACGAGGAGGGAACGTCGGGAGCAACGCCGATAAAGCCCCGTTGATGCAGTCGCTGTCGACCGGTGACAGCCACGACGACCTTACGACGTCGATGAGGAGGAAGAAGAGAAGGAAGAGGATGATGATGATCGGCAGACCGACGGCAAGAGTTTCCACCGAGCTTTCACGTTTCGCCGACGTTCACCGGGGAACAGAACGGCGAAAATCGCAAGTGTAAATTCCGGTCGACGCAATTAAAACCCGGCGATCTATCTATCTATCTATCTCTCTCTCTCTCTCTCTCTCTCTCTCTCACTCACTCGCTCGTTCCACGACGACGACGCGCACGATTTATATTCTAATTTCCCGGATAATTACAGATATCACCGCGAAATTACGGGCGCACGACGGTCCCGGGAAACGTATCGATGGTGGGCGCGCGCTCTCTTTGACAGTTTCCATCGGCCAGCTGCGTGTCCGTCGGTCCGCTCGTCCAGCGCTCCCATCCGTTTGTCACTCGACGGGCGCTCGCGTAATTAAAAGGATGCATTATGAGAGTAGCCGGAGCAGGAGGAAGAGGGGGGGGGGGGGG